CTAAAATTATTCCATACCTCCATGAAACTAAGTACTTTCTATGGACTCAAAGCTTTCCAAGCAGAAGACGATTATCTGACAGGAAACTGAGACCCTATATATACCCACTATTACCCAAGAAAAAGCTTCACCTTTACTGGCAGTAGCTCAAAAAGGCTTTTATTTTGTGTAGCACTCATCCTACTCAGAGCCATCAGGTGGAAAAAGCTGTGACGGATCACGTAGAATCGCAGGAACTGTTCTTGCAGCAAGGTGAAATACAAACTATCTTAAATTCTACATGGCAAACAGCGATCATCCGGATATTCCCCTCGCAATTCATACTGGTGCACCTATTTTGTAACAGCATAACTGTGTGTTCTGCTCAGCTGTTAAGAATGGCTTTGTAAGCAAGTGTTGCAAGCCCTTATGGCTTTTTGATATGCCTATGTAGCTGCTTTTCTTTCCATTTCCCGTACTATGTGCCAGGTTACAGAAACATTTCCAAGCAGCAGATTCAGAAATAGAAAGAGTTCAAGGCCAGGTTTCACACCTGCAACCTTGCAGCTCTGGGCTGTTCCAGCCCTGAAGACCAGTCTCCTTATTATAAATCCAAGGCTTCCTCTAACATCCAGGTTTCATGTTCAGTAATTCCAAATAAGTTTATAGGCAGGAAGAGATGGGAGGAGGAGGGAGAGAGCGTACTGCATGGAAGCTAGGTAACCATTACATGTATCACATTTTACTTTGATGAAATAATTTAATTGAATGCCACAGTAGTTCATACAAATTAATTTATCATCCAATATAAGACACTGTCTCACTCCAATTCCCTCAAAAACAAAAAATAATCAAAAAGAGCTACTTCTATTCAACCCTAACATACCATTCATACTTTGGCTTCCCTAAATACTTCAGAGGGCAATACAAGCTAGTACAAAGTTTTAAAGGGTTAAATAGCAGTTCTGATTTTTATTTCTTTTGGAATTCTACACAAGAATCAGTTTTCTAAAGCACTGTCAATATAATATTTAGCCTACAGCTGCAGCAGAAAGCTATCGTAATCACCCCATATGCCTCCTGAGTTCCAGAGTGGGGGGATAGGAGACGAATGCCTTAAAAACAAAGCAAAGAAGCCCTCCATACGATACTAGCGTGCTACGTCCAGGTACGTACCAATCGGAAATTTTGACACCTAGCGTGCACTCAGAATGAGGCATCAGCAAGCACTGTGCGTCATGAAGTATATTTTGTTTTGTTTAGAAAAAGAGTTGTTCTGTAGTTGGACAAACCGCCACACAAGACCCATTTCTTGACTCCAGGTGTGATTTATGCAACCCATGCTGACTCGTTCATCTTGGCTGGACTGCATTATACTGCCTACCTTACACAGGACTTTTCTTGCCATTTTGCACTAGCAGCCCTGCAAAAAAATTTAATAAACTCTCAGTCTCTGGCACAGAAAAAGATTAAGCAAAACAAAACAACAAACTGTTTTGCTACAAGATGAGAAACATATATAAAAATTAAAATAAAATTGGGAGGGAACAAAACTGTAACTCTGCATTGCCCTCTAGAACAAACATAAACAGAGCATTCTCCTGATACATACTGACTGTCCAAATGGAAAATAAAGACCCAATGACATTTTTAGAAGAACAGGATACACAACTCCCTGTTCTAGCTAACAGTCTTTCTCTCTCTGCATAGAGAGACAGAGAGAGAATGAGAAGTCATTTGTACATAGCTGAGACTGTAAGCCACAGGAGTTTCTGCATTGCTACTTAATTCACTCTAAAATTCATTCAAATAGTAGAAGGGGAGGGGGGGGAGAAAAAAAAGCTATTTCCAGAAAATGAAAAAACCCACACAAATCTACTGTCTTCAGCTTAGAAGGCAAGGAAACTCTGGAAATGATCCTAATGCAAATCTCAGACAAATCTGCATTTTGCTGAAACAAGAACTTCGGGTTTAGGCCACGTATGAAAGCAGCTCAGAGTTCCCCATGAAGTCTAGTTCTACTTGAGACACCGAAATGTTGAAAAACTTCAGAGTGAAAATTTTTAGTAACTGGCTTACCACAGAGAAAAGAAGTTGAAAGAAAAACAGACAATATAATCTGTGACTTAAGTTTGTCTTTCAGGAAATAAAGATCCCTACGGTAGTAAATACAATACTTGAATTATTTGCAAATAGGTTTAATCATCTAATTGCCATGTGCAAGGAAAATCTATGCGCTATCAGAACTCAGTACAGCTAATTACTAGAAGGCAAAATAATGATTTTTATCAAACGGTGTGTGTGTGTTCTTCAGCTATTATATCTATCAATATTTATGTCACTTACAGCCCTTTCTGGGTGGTTGCTGCATACATTTTGTGTGCAGTCAAGAAGCTTCCCGACTGCAAACGTGCTTTTAAAAAGAAAAGCTGGCCCAAACCCTGCATTTCCAATTCAAGCAGTGGATTCTGAAGCCTGTTAACTCCCTGGAGCAGCTGATAGTTAAAGACTTGTTTCCGCTTTTCTAACAATTTCCTGGTTTGCATAACAATCCTAAAGAAACACAGTCAAGAAGTTTTTCAGCATAGAGAGATTTTGTCTCCAACATACTTCTAGTTTCAAGGCATAGAAAATATTTATGTATAAGTACAACAACTTTAGAGATATATTTGTCTACAAATATATTTACATATAAATATGTATCAGCTACTTGGTTTAAAACAAGATTATGATAATTTTGCCATATCCAGGAAATACAAAACACTGGCTTATGCCTGGTGCTTAACTCATGCCATTGTGAATAAAGAGGCGGGAGGGAAGGGGTTTAATGTTTAATTTCCTGTTAAAAACACACACAGGATAAAATCTTCCAAAGAGCAGTTATAAAACATGTATTCGTTAGCCAAAAAACTAGGTAAATATGGAACGAAGCCCAGGCTCACTTTTATTCCTTCCCCCCCTCTCCAAAGAACAAAGTATCTGACGGCCACGGCGCGTATTTGGAGGCACTGAACTCTACTCGGTGACTAGATAATTAATCAGCCCGGCTGATTTACGCACTCTGTATCCATTGGGGTAGCTCCTCAGATAACGCAATGACGCGGCTGGGCTGAAGGTACTGTATTGCCACGTATACTGCACATGTGCCAAACAACCCGCGCACCAACTACTAGCTACCTTACTGACACAATTACCTGGCTAAACACAAATGAAATAAGCATTAGCCTGTAGTCGGGACCTACCAACAGACAGCTTCTAGCAACCACAGATTGAGAATACCATCACCTTCAGTGGCGGATGGAGACACTACAGAGGATTTTTTTTTTTTTTTAGAAGTTATAAGGGGAAATATTTTCAGATCCCACTGAAACTCAGCCCTGTCCATCCTGGAACTGTGACTTCACCTGCAGCAATTCAGCCTCCATCACAGTTCTACCATGTATAACGATGTATTAGGTTATTCTGCAATTCACCACACTAGAACTCCCAGACAAGTACCAAATTTCTGTACAATATACAATTACAGCCTTTAACAATCTCAGTTCTTCTCTTTGTTGAGATGCCCAAATTGAGACAAAAATGTGGACTGTGTTTAGGAGAAACTGAACATTTACAACAGTTTTCGACAGTAACGCTGTATTTTTGGATCTTATTTTACAATAAAAACAATCCATCAAATACTTTCTGTCCAGGGTCAAAGTCAGGTCCTCAGTGCACACATTAGAGCATGGAACTGGAGAAGTTCTGGTACTTCTACTGGGACTCACATTCAAAATTAGATGTAAACAACTCTGTGAGCAGCTTCAATTTTGTTTTGTTTTCCAAATGAGGATAAATTTATTATTGCAGATATAGCTAAACAGCTTTCTTAGCTTTTGGAAGTACATTATTCAAATTAAAACAGCTTAAGCTTTTTAAGTAGATGCACCTTAAACACCTTCTAGTCAAGGCATTTAGTCTCACATTTGATGCAAGAAAAGAAAGGCACAGAGATTACATATCTCCCTGGTGAATTAAATCTGATGGCAGGCATGCTGAATTTCTTGCAGACTCTTTGTAAAACTGGCTTTGAGACAATAAACAGTCCTGAGTTTATTTCTAAAACCTGCACTTAACAGCTGTTGTAGGTATTTGTGCTCTTTCCTTAAGAAATCAACCACTGTTGATCACTGATTTAATGACACTTCATCAGTGAATTCCATACTACTGCATGAGTTCAAAATCTTCCTGTTTATTTTCACTTGCTGATAACTGGACTTTGTGCCCTGATCCCATGATTCTTCATGTGAAAAGACAATTGACTAACAACATCATAAGGGAGAAAGGGAGTAGGGTGGAGAAAAACTGTAACACAAAATGAGCACTGACTTGCCTTCTCAGTACTGTACATACCCTCGAGCAATGGAATTTCAGGAAAATAGTAATGTTTCTGGCCAACAGTCAGAATACATAAGATGTTCTACACTCTTTGCATCACTGTATGTTGCTACTGCAAACTCCATGCAAAAGCAAGATTTTATTTTTTTCTTTGTTTCTCAACATTAACACAAGTTTACTGCTAGTTACAATCAAGGTATTAAAGATTCCAGTGAAGCAGTAGTATGCACTAGCACAGTGGTGACCTGAGCCTTTAATCCAGATGAATTTAACTGTAGAGTGCATTAGCTCTTCTCATAAAAGATTTGCTTTAATTTGAGTTCTCTCTCCATTTATCTTATGGCTGTGTAATCTTCAGTAGAGGTCAATGAGATTTCCCCAAAGAAACAAGAGCTGCTTCTTTTTTAGAAGGGAAAAGCATATTTAAGACAGTTCATCCTACTATTAAACATATGCCACAGTACAGTACTCTCTATGCTCTGCTTTGTACTCTCCTTCCTTCTTTACATGTTCCAAAGCAATTAAACAAGCATGTATGTGCATGCACACACGTACACAAGTGAAACATGAAAGGAAAGCACCTCCTGAAGATACCATACACTGCCTATCTGCTGCAAAGACTGAAATTATTACTAACATCTTACCATCATCCAGCTCAAGACAGAGATTGTAAACAGCCAGAGGCCTCTTAATACGTTGTCCTTGTCGTCTTGATTGCCTTGGTGGAGCGTTTGGAGGAGATACTGACATAGAGATTGGCTCAGGGAAAGTGGCATCAGGCAGGGTTTTGAAAATCTGCAATCAAGAACACAAAGGGTGTTAATTATTTATCACGAAAATCAACCTGTGTAATGCAACTGTAAACCATTATCAAACAACATTTGTTTTGGATTTCATTCAAAGCAGGCAGGAGCCAAAAAATCCATTCCTTCAAGTTTGGGAGTATGGTGTGGGTCTTTAATGAGCCTTTTAAAAATAAATAAATAAATATAATATAATATGAAAACAAGCAAGAGCACTGTCTACACATTAACCAAGCTGCAAATCAGTTAATCCAAAGACAAAATATTTGCAGCCACGCTTGCCAGCTAGAATGGAGAGGAAGGAGAAAGGGGAATACTAACTTTATGAACCAGAAACCAAAGAACTTTACAGCTTTAACTAAGACCCATAGTTTTGCTAGAATACACATTTCAATTTTCAAAACTTGGGATATCATTATAATATTGCCTATTTTAAATTAATAAAAAAACCCCAACCATACTCTTGAAGAGAGTAAGGCGAAAATTTTGACGAATGTTTTTTTTAGTGAGAGATACCATAGTAACATACCATGTGAGAACTTTTTCCATGTAACTATTGCGTATTGAGTCATATTTATATTTAATGATGATATTCACAAACGCATATAAGAAGGATTGCATTTATTGTCATCACTTTATCTTTTGAGTCATGACCATTAGGATATCACCACTGCATACAAAATATCACGTCATTTCTCTCTGGATTAACCAGCGATCCAGATTTGCTCAACTTTAGAGCATTTCTACTTTAACTGTCACATACAAGGTACAGTCTAACGATGTTGATTTACTTCTAGGAAATTATCAGTATGCTGATACACAATTTAACAACAGCCTTTCACAAGCGATCATGGCAGATTCACACGAACAAATTAGCTTAATATGTACTTCATCAAAGACAAACCAGCAGATAAAGAAAAAAACAAACAGCAGCTGTACAAGAAAACTCCTGTGTATGGATGGCACCTCACAGCAACACAACACAGTAATAAAACAAGGTGTAATGAAACAGTATGTATGATGTTCTTTTACTCTGCAACTTTATATTGCCATGTATCTGTATAGGAAATATTATAAAGAGGAGACTCATAATGAATCTTCAAAGGAGCAGTTTTTTATGAAGTAGAAATTCATGCAGAAGTATAAAGGGATGCCACAGATAACACATTTTTGGGTCATTACAGCACATATCAGGTGCAGCATGAAGCTGAAAGCAAGCCAGGCTGCTCTACAGGTGTGAAAAATGCCATAAGCATCCTGTGGTAATACACTCAAGACATCATGTTGAAAGTATAAGAAACACTGCACGTCATCATATCCTGGCCCATTAACCCTGAATATTAACACATGCAGGAAAAAGATGACCCAAGGACTGACATATACACTGGCTTCTAACTGCTTAATCATCACTCTCGTACTGGTAGGTGTAAGACTGTGCTGTTACCAACTAATCAGAAGCACCATTTTCCATGAAAAACGTGAAAGAATGATCATACTGCCAAAACTGGGCAGCAGTGGGCCAGAAGCCTATATATGGTGTGCAAAGGAAGTCTCTGGTGGAAATACTACCTTCCTTCCCAATAAATGAATGTTGCTGTGGGGGAGATAGAATGACGTACTTTGAACTTCCCCATACCAGTGTTAAGAAAACTGTTTCCCACTCCTTCACATGCCTACGAACAAGGGATGATGAGAGAGTGCCAAAATAGTGCAAGGAACTCTCTAAAAACATGTTTATAAAGAAGAAAGGAAACAGTCCAACCTGGTTCTCCCAGGTTCAGACACAGCAGCGCACTCAGACAGTGACAAAGCTCTAACTGTGCTCCGAGTGCTAAAGCCATTCCTTAAAAAATGATGCAATATATAATAATGAAATCTAACGTGCACCTACGTGGCACTTGGCTAACAGTACCACACTGCCCCCTGATGTGTAAATACGAGGCTAGATTGAGCAGGTCTAGGGATAAATATTTGCTTCTGAAAAATACAGACGCACCAAAACTTTAAATGCTATCTTATCCATGGACTAAGCGTTGCATTTGGGCTCTCTGATAAATAACTCTCTGCCAAGAGGGTTCCGCATGTTGTTTACTATGTCACATTCAGCAGCTGCATTTATTTGTACAGCCTTATCCACGCATCTCCACTGAAATTAATGATGGTGAGAAGAACAAGTATCCCCCAGGAGTACTTCATAAAAGATGAGCTTTCTGGTAAGCATTTAAACGACTTGCATGGGTTGTAGTAAAGTTCTTCAGTGTTTTTCCCTCACCTCTCACCAATATTTCAATATACTCTTCTTAAACTATTACCATGAGAAACTAAGAGAGTCACAAAAGCAAAACGCAATCGAGAAAACCATAAAGGCGATCCTCACTCAATGATACTCAGTGCCAGACAAGCAACAGGATAATGAATTGGAGACAGGTATGAATTCAAGTAGATTTCTAACTGAAAGTAGTTATGTGATTGGAAAAAAAAACCCACACCAGTTGGTGGTTTGTTCTGTTTTATGGGGGAAAAACTCCTATGCAATAAACAGGAGAAAGAAAAGGAAAGCAGTGGAGTCACACTTGAAACAGTAGTCGTCCAGTCATGAGCTGCCCAGAATAGCGCTCTCTCCCCTAATAAAACAGAAGTTAGGGGTACTGAGTCCTTTCTTTCACTGTCAGGATAAGCACATCACCTCTACTTTTAATTTTTTTAGTGGCAGACCTGCACACGAACATCTCCCAACAGCACTGCTCAGCACAACCCAGTGCTACTCAGTCACAGCGCTGGGCTGTTGGCAGGCAGTCTAATTTCCCTTCTGCAGGCAAGACGCTCAGATGGGCATCAGGCTCGTCCTCTATTTTATCTCACTCTGCCCTCAACTTCTTATTATAACAGATTGGTTAGGAAGTGTGATTTCTGGGATTAGGTCAGTAAGTAGTATATTGCTTTCCAGCGAGCAGAAATCACCTCCCGAGAGCTCTTGGGTAGCACAAGGCCACTTGTTCTCCACCCTCACTGGGACCAGGGCAAGGGTCCACACAAACTCCATCTTCTCACTTCTCTGATGCAATGTTACAAGCTGTACCACTTTCTTCCTTGTGCTCTTGTTCAATATCTGTCTCCATAGAGAAAAGGAGAATTCCTGAAAGAAGCATTTAGATATAAACTGAAGAATTCAACCTCCTGACTATCTGCAGAGCAAATTTAGCCATGCAGAGCAAACTGAGACTAATTGTCATACTCAGCAGTGAAATCACCAAGTATCACGAGTTGCCCTGCAGGATTCCAAGACACACAAAAGCAACCACACAAACAACAACAAAACACCAAAATCACACACGCAACCACCACTAGAAAGATCACTAGGGGTTTTTATATATGAAAGAAAAAGGAAACATCCCACCCTCATGTGTTGCATAAAAAAAAAAAAAAGTATATTTGAGGTCATTTTTGCTCTTTCAAGCAGCTCCTATTAGTGCTCATCCCTACTTTAGTATTTTCTTTTTGTCTTTTCAGTGGGACAATAAAAGCCGGTACAGCCCATCCATAACTAGATCTGCTTTTTCAGCAGCAGAAATCTCTTTCTGTTGCAGGCCAAAGCCACAGCTCACACCAGTTTTGCAAAGGTGAGCAACTGAAAAGCAAGCAGAAGGTCAACCTCTAAGAAGTGCACATGCAGGATTCAGCTTCTCTTTCTTGCTTTATTTTCACTTAAAAAGAGAAGCAATTTTCATCCTGCCTTAATGGATATTTGTCTGCTGCACCGACAGAAGCATTGTAACATCTGCCTGAGAATGGGGAGGGTGGAGGCATGCTTTATTTCAGCTGTGGGCAGAAAAGTCTATTGGTTTGGTTTTATTCAAATTTGCTTCTAGCCTTATTAATTATTTAAACGCCACTGAAGTACAACTGTGTCACAGCTAATAAAAGGTGCCTGCTGTGCGTGACCTGTTGTCAGAAGCACCCTGCGCATGCACAGCAGTCGGAATTCAAAATCATACGCACACAATGTGAGCACCTGAAGCGGTACCAACGTTGTGTTCTGACCGGCTTGCACGACAGCATGGGACAACACCTGACCAAGTTTCAGAGTAACTTCTTGCACTGCAAGCTGTGCTATCAGATGCATGGCAAAGCAACCACACATATCGAATCGGATGGAAACCCTCCCACAGAAGAATAGGACTGGAATATGCTATTTAATCAAAGATCTCTTTGCTACTCCAAAAAAAGCCACCCCTCCAGTAAAAGTCAGATCTACCACCATTACTCATCTGGATTGCAGAAGTTACCCCAGTTTCAACTAATGCCTGTATAAAGACAAGAATGAAGTCCACTCACTAAATTACCTCATTCAAGAAGCGATAAAAACGTATCAAATCAACCTCAAAGTTTAAGATCTTCACAGTTACAGTTTTTGAGGTTGTGGCCAAACTGCATTAGATTTATAGAATAAGTTCTCTACAATTGTGCTCACAAGCACTGGCATCCTGCTATTGACCTAGTTGGGGGCAAACTCAGAAACTAAGTGAAACAATTCACATATAGGAGAAGACTAACACATGTAGCGCTCAAAATTTTATCAAGCAACAAATTCAACTGCTAGTCAGTCCTATCCCAGTTAGTCCAGTTTTTGACTGGTTGTTTAGGTCCGATCTTACAAGAAAGCAGAATTTTAAAGTGCGTACTGACTTCAGTGGTAGATTAGTCTTTGAGCCCGCAGGGTAAAAATTACAACAAAAAAAAATGAGACTTGTTGAGCAATTTAAAACCCTGGTATTCTTGACCTATTTCTCTCCATGCAATAGCAAAAAATGGATACTTTACAAAAGGTTAAACAAACCACAAACCATCTTGGATATACACCGCTAATAACAGCTCTGTCTACAGCAGTGAGCCCAAGGCCATCCCTACATAAAACTGTTCCAATTCCTAAATCTGTGTCCCACAAAGTCTATGGAAGCATTTCTTGAGACTAGTGCACCAAATTCAACATAT